CAATGTCATCAGTAATTCTTGGAAGCAACCAAATGTAAGACAGAGTAAGACATCGATTTTCTTTTTATCCAAGCACAGCAACATATTTGCACACTGAACGCTTTTCATATATTAAGAAATGCTGACTGCAATAAGCTACTACTCATTAGGAAGTCTTCCATGCACAGGAAACTTACAATATATTCTCTAAAAGAATAATTCCCTTTCTTCTTGCTAGTTCTTAAACCTATACATTGATAAGCACTACTTCCCATTATAAATGACCTTCAAATTAGATGACACACAGAACACCACTGAAGAAAACTTCTCTTTCTTTACAAAGGCAATATACAGCCATACAAGACCCTGGCACCTACACAGCTAACCTTGTTTTTGGAAGTGTTACATTCATGTAATAATTCTGTCCTGCAAAAAGCTGGCTTGTCCCTAACCAGGGCTATTTAGAACACAGATTTCAACATAATGAGGGCTGTAACTTTATAGGGAGTTGGAGCAGCCCTGCAGTACCGTGAGCAGTGCATTCCTGAAACTCTCCTGTACCAGTGTAATGTCAACAGAAAAGGCTGAGTGGTGATGTAATGTCTGAGGGCATGCCAGAGTCAAGACACTTTTTGTTTGATTCACAGGGTACAAGTTATTTCTCCCCACCCCCGCCTTTTTTAAACAAGGCAATACACAGTTGATTTTACAACCACAAGTGTTATAGAGCCTCACATTATCTACACAGGGAAAAAACAGGAATGAACCGATAGCATTCATCATTGTGACACAGGCAACAATTCTTGAGCAAGAAAACCTTTTGGACTATTTTAGTTTGGAGAGTGGTTGTCTTTTGTGGTTTCCTTCTGGGCTTTTTGTTTTTTTGCTGTTGCCCATCACTATAGCCTCTGAGGCTCCTACACTTAAAACCACGTTTGAGTACTTAAAGTCCTACAATACTTTCTGTATCCTCAGATACAAAAAGATATTTTCTGTACCAGTCTAGCAACTAAAAATCCTTAGTATTTAATCAACATTTCCTAAATTCTAATGCTGACAAGAAGACTAGAAACTCACCCAGTACTGTGACATGACTAGAGAGTCTCACACATTTAATATTTGTACACTTGTGCATACTAAAGTCAGTGGGACTTGGGTGTATAAATAAACTGTTTCTAAAATTCTGGACCTGGATGCCCAGAAGGATGAGTAAATTACATTCTCATACAAATCTCTACAGCCAACAAAGGCAGTGGGAAGCTGAGAGTCATGCTTGATCCACCCAGCCTATCTTACCCTTCCTCTCTTTCACAAATGTATGACTCAAGTGAGCTTCTGGATAATGCAAACACCATACCATTTTGAACCTATTTATCAAACATCAGAGCTCTTCTTCAAAGAGTAGGAAAATTGGTGTCATGTGAATTAGGTCATTACAGCAATGACAAGGACAAAAGAAAATGTTCTGAGAGGAGCAATTGAAGGTTGTTTTAAATGGGTGCAAATAAAATAACAGCTAAACAATGTCTTTCAAGCTTTGGTAGTTGCAAGAAACAAGAAAGGCATGATTGTGGCATTTCTAGGAAAAATGCTTGTGTGTATATATATGTGTGTATAGATGTACACACACTGCTAATTGACTTTGAAATTAGGCTCACAAGGGCTAGGACAATAACGCTTTTGGAGGAAAACAATACTCTGCAAAGCCACAGAGAGAAACAAAGTTGTTTATCCTCTAAGATACCTGTCACTTAGCTTTGCTGCAACCCACAACACCTGCAACAACTCAAAATCACATATGGATTTCATAATGTGTTCTTAAACTTCAAAATAAACCCCAAAAGTGAGTCTTCCTGCATTTTGTACCTTAAAGCATTAATGATCTATCATTCTTTGCCAAGAGGTTTCAATCTACTTGCATCTCAGATGCTCCAGGAAAAGGATGTGGTATACAGATCACTACATGCCTGCTGGTAGCAGGCTTCCCTCTAGAGTGACACATCAGGAGTTCTGGCTCCAAGTCCTTTTGAGTACCTATCACAATCTGTGAGCACTAAAAAAAACAATACTGAGAAAATACTAGAAAGTCTAACTCCCATCAACAGACAAACCAATCAAACTCTTCCCCAACTAGCAGTCTATGTTTCGTTTCTGCAAAGAAATTTCATCAATGTAACACACATACCTTGTCAAAGTAAGAGCAACACTTTAGTCATTTTGGGAACTTAAGCTTTAGCTTCTTAAGATATGAGGGCAATCTTCAAGAGAACTCTTAAGTTGTGTGCTTGCAGCTCAGAATCTGCTCATTTCTGCCATACCAGAACGCAATCCAGATGGAACAGGGTGTTATTTACCTTTACTGCAGATTTCTACCACTGTATTAAAACAGATTTCCAAAGGCAACCCAAAAGTAACAGTTAGGGGTTTTAAACCCTGATGGCCATAATTTTCAAGAAACTCCCTGTGAGCAAACTGTTTTCTATGTACAAACTTCAGAGAAAGATTAGCAAAGGCTATTCTGTGAGAAACTGTCTCACAGAGCTGAAAGGCCATCTCTCCATCTCTCATCCATCTTCTGATCCCTATATCACATCCAAAAGCTTGTCAGAGCTCTCCAAGTGTCAGTACAAGTCATTAACCCAGGAAAAGAAGTAAATGCTGCTGCCAAGTTAGGAAGTGGTATCAGTGAAAGGTCTTACATCACCTCTGCTGGACAAGAAAGGCCTCCTCCTTTCAGCAGTTCAGTTTTTTTCCCAAAGCAATTGCACTGTAAGCACTGACGAGTTAAGGATAATCCTTTCTTATTAGAGTTAAAATACAGTATAGAGATGCAACTTTATGAGATTAACTACCTGTGCAGACAACACAATAGTTTTTGAACGCAGGAGACTCCATTTTTAATTTACTGTGCTCTGTAAGAAAGGTAAAATCTAAGTATTTAAGACAGTTTAAAACAGAAAAAATATCAAGTTGGCAGTTTAATAAAAATGAAAAGAAGAATTGAAGACAGAAAATCAGAGGTTCAATGTGGAAAAACTGCTAAAGAAGCCTTCCTACCATAAGTGCCATTCACCATTTGAAAGCAACTTTCTTATCCACAAGTCCCTTCAAATGAGCCTTAGCCCACACAAAGTTTTGATCCTATGAGGAAATACAACCAAGGTATTCTGTGAAGCTTACTTTGCATGGATCCCAAATGAAAGACATTCTTTATAAAGGCTAAGAACAGCAATATTAAAAGGGAGAGATGACTGGAGCCTTATTATTTCTTCTTTTGATGAATTCTGATTTGCAGGGGTGAAGACTTGTATACATTATACAAAAGCATATAGTTGTACAGAACGGCAAAACTCAAGAAAATTGTTACTTTTTTATTCACCTTATCTATCTTACAGTAGGTTCCAACTCTAACCTTCTTTTGTAGATATACCTGCAAATGGAATTGGGTTCTCTGTAAAAGGCAGTCCCTAAGGGCTACTCCTAGTGTTGACAGTCTTAGCCACTGAGTTTGAACATTACTGGACAGTTTCAGACCTAGAGCTGGAGCATGTGTTGGCATTTTCTGAATTCATTATTAATTTTCCTTCCAGTTAGAAGATTGGTATGAGCTTGTGTTTAAATTTCAAATTCCACATCTCTCTAACATTCCATACAAAACTTCATTTTCCCTATTAACTTCATATAGTTTTATGAGAGAGTATAATTGTCTTTTGCTCTGATTTCCAGCTCATTAACAGCATTATGTGCTGCTACTTATCTTAACAGAAAGTCTGTCAAGCCACAAGAATTTATTGCTTTTTGAAAAATGCAAGCTCCTGAAGTATCACATCAACCTGATACAGAACAGACATACTCTTCCCATTAAAATAATACCATACCTGTAAGAAAATGCCTTAGAAAGCAGAGCAACATATACTAAGACTTTTCTCTACATCTTTAGTAACAAATGAGAAGCTAAACTATGTGTCAGGATGTACACAGCTCTACACTGAGCTGCAGAGGAGAAAAGTGTGTTATTTTTAGGTCGACTAAATAATGGACCAGAAATTGTCAGTGGTTTTCTTCTTGACCAACACATGTTTTCCCACGCTTTATAGTAAGCCACTCAATTGTTTTAAATGAATTTTATTATCACATTTTCACACTCCTGTCAAAAAATATTCAGAACTAAGGAACACTACTCAAGTTCAGTGACATGAATGTATTTCCTATTTGCAATCTGAAAGAAGCTCAACTCTGCCTCCTGCAGCAGCAGCAGCAATATAATTAGTGATGAAATTCTGACTGCAGGAATTTTGCTGATGACAGTTAAGAAATTTTCAGATCATAGTTTCATACTATCGTAGCTTGAAAATATATCTTTTGTCCTTAAACAGTGCCTGTGGTTATTAAATACAGCCATACAAAGACAACATCTGGCTCTAGAATCATATGAACTTCTGTTAGCCACTTTATGTGTGACCTATTTCTCTGGGATCAGTAGTAGGGACAAAGCCACACCTCAGTAAACAGACTATTCCTCCCTAACCACCTGCCATCATCACTTATAGAACACTGACCTACAATGACCTATCCCACCTGATCTAGTAGTTGAATATTAAACGAGAAACACTGTAATTTGAAATAAAAATTAATAACTATATAAATACACAGTATTTACATTTTGTGGGATTGCCTCTACTTCATTCAGTAACAAAATTGAAATGCAAGGAAGATGCTTCCTTATAAAATGCGGATGAGTAGATAACGCTGTATTAATTGGACCTAAAAAGACTGCAAATATTTTCTTCTGAATATAAACTTCCAATTAAGTATTAGATCACATCAAACATCACCTGCAAAACAGCAGCTCTTCATTATGTTTTCCTTTTTTCCCACATTGCAGAACAGTTCTGAGTAAGCCAGTATGTGTCCTGCTTCCTGTGTTATCTCTTGAATCAGAAAGAAGCCACCCTCACAGAGGTGTTCTCAAACAGTCATGGAAACTCTGGAGACTCAGGGCAGCATAGCTTGCTTATTACCTGATCACGATCACCTGCAAAACAGCAGCTCTTCATAGTACAGGAGTTGAAGTACCCTTGGTTGTCAAACTGGAAGACAGGCAGGCGGCAGTGGATGTCGTAGAGCACCGGGGGAAGGCGCCGGCGCAGGGCCAACAGCTGGGTGCCGTTACTGTTGAACCGGACGCTCATGGCACTCTGAAGGGAAAGGTTTCCACCATAGCGGAGCAGTGAACTGGGAAGAGACAAGTGGAGCAGGTGAGATGGGCTGCACATATCAACTCAACTACTTAAAGACAGGACTCTCTTTAATCTTACTGAGGCATTTCAAACAAACAAGCCCAGTAAACTATAATCTTATTTCATTTCTGCATTAAGACATCAATTCCTGAAAAATCTTTATATGAAACCTGAATGACAAGCTATCAAAATGCTATGACTGTAAAGTCTTCAGAAGAGAAAAGTTAAAGACTGTGAGTAATTCTGTTAACAACAAATACATCTCCTGCATAGGAACAAAGTTGGACAGAGCACTTAGCCTTAAAAAGGCTGCTGTCCTTTTACTTCTGGGATGTCTCCCTTTGAGACTGACCCTACCAGCACTCAGACCTTTTTGTTAGCTGGTTCTTGAATCCAGGCATTCTTTTACCCTGGCTCTGGCACCAGATGGCATTTTCTCCAAATGTAGACAGGCTGGCCATTCTCTCTCTTCTGCTTCTATTTATATCTCTACAGGGCATCAGAAGATGTTTAAACTACATAATCAGTTCCAGATGTCTTAAATAAAAGGATATCTTACTAACATGTTATTGCAAGAATTGCTAAAATAAGTCACTTAGCTAATCTTGAACTAGCTTCATCTAAAAATACTGCCAAGTAGGCAAGACAATTATGTTATCACATGACATTATTACCTAAAACTCTCATGTGGCAGGCTTAGCTGGTTTCCTTGTCCCATATAAGGCTGTATGTTCAGAGCTGGAGTATTTGTATCCATTCTTATTGACACAAAACAAAACCAAAGGTTCTCAAGTTTCCAGACTCTCTTTAAAAAAGTAACAGAAATGGAATTTGTTCCTTAAAGGAACATAAAGTTAATCAAAGCACACCTTAAATGCAATTTGTACAGATTTTCTGTTCTTTTGAAAGACTTCATTCAATCTGTGTATATGAAATGACTGTCTGCATGAAAGGTGAGACCAAGATGGAAGACATTTTATCCCTTTTTTTGTTCAGTGATCACTGAAACATCCCTAAGCAGTAGATAGAGCTCTATTTTTTGTTAACAGATCTGTTTTGAGAGCTGTGACTTTTATGCCCCTTCTGGACCAGAAAAAACATGCCAGCTCAGAATCTGTAAGTTCTAGAGGGAAGTTTATTCATAGATTTTAATACATAATACTTTCTGATATCGCCCTTTGCCGCAACAACTGTGAAGAATGAGTCACTCTGCATGGATGGGAAGCCACATTCCATGCAGGTCTAAACATGCATCATTACCTGAGATACTGTAAAGTTAAAAAAGCACTGATCCTAAGCTGGAGTTCAAACAAAACCAACATAAAATATAAGGCTGTACATAATGAATGCCATAGAAATATGCTGCTCTCTCACACACACACACTCTTTGTGAACAGAACAGTCAAAGCCAGGCTGCCACAAAGGCACCACAAACCACATTTTCCAAGCCAATGACTAAGTTCTTCAAGCTGGGCACCAAAACTTCAGAAGGCTTCTATCAGAATGAACAGTCCTGGTATCTCATGTTCTCTTCCTCCATGGCAACATTGCCAAGCTTTTCTTAATTGTGTTCAAGGTATTTAATTAAAACATGAGAGTATTTAATACTAGAAACTGCAAGCTTAGAGACAAGGATTTGGGATCACTCTCATCAGCCCTAGTTTCTGTTTATTGAGAACAATAAAGTGTCGGGTACTCAGCTCAAAATACTTAGTCAGGCATTAAAAATCTAAACAAAACAAGATAAATAAACACGTGACATTTTTGCCTCCCCCTCTTCTGATAGGTCTTTGTAAGCCATTTTTTTCTATGGAATTTTCCACTTCCTTAAAAAAAAGACAAATAAGCTAAAACATCATAAAGTCCCCAAAACTGCAACCCAACCAAGAACTCAACACTAAAAAATAGGCAGGAGAAACAATCCCTGGTTTTTTTTGGCTACAAAAAGTCAAATTTTAATAAAAATACACGTGTTGTCCAACATGAATAAGAAGGTCATAACAAATATGTACCAACCAGACTTAATGTTTAGGTGCAGCCACTGCTGCACCAAGATTAAACTTCTCTCCTCATTATCAGTTCTCCCCCTTAATCCAAATCACTACCCAGAATTCTCTCCTGCCTACAAGTGAGTGAGCCTACCAGATGCCCCATCCTTTCAAGTCTTCAAGCAAAGTTTCCATGGTTACTAGTATTATGCCCTGCCTGAAATAATTTGAGATTATATTTTATAGCAATAGGAGTGCCATATTAAACTGGCTTCAATTCTGCTTACAGATGTTTCATTAAGCTCCTATAGCAGCCAAAGGTACCAAAGCAAACACTTGGAATTGAATTCCATACTGTGTTGCAGTAACTTCAGTGTAGCAAAGCTCCAAAAGAACGTTTTATTTCAAAAATTAAAGGAAGCAGGAGAGACTAGAACTTCAGAAAAAATTATCATATCCACACATGAAAAGTCCAGAATTAAGGAGCTGCATAGTTAGTACTTCTCAAAAGATCCACAGTTTTGTCTGCCTCAGACCCTCACTCCACACAATTCAGCCACACATGTAATGTGTAAATACAGTTCCTTCTGCAGTTTTTTTAACATTTGCCAAAAAAAAAAAAAAAAATCAACTCCCACACTAACAAAAAAAGCAGGGAGCTAATTTGGCTGATACAGAAAGAAATACTAAAATAGCTGTTTGCCATTCATTTGTAATGTAAGAGTAATGACATTCCCCACTTGCCTTAATTCTGGCCCCAAAAGTCTGACAGTATAGCTCCAAGTGCAGCATTTTGCTATACTAATCACAAGACAGCAGTTTTCTGTTTTCCCTACCCGGCTGTGTCCTGATTGCTTCCTCTCTGCCTCTTTGAAAGGACTTGTTAAATTAACTGCACAGTGTTTTGCTTTAACAAATTCTGAAAAGAAGCAGCAGGCAGTCAGGTGGGGATGAGGTGAACAAAGTGACACAAACCCCCAACAACCATCCATTTCCTAATCCAAACAGAGGAAAAAAATATTTGCTTGCTCTCCCTCCTCCTAGGACAGAACATCTGAGAGATATGTTCACAAATAAGAGGGGGGGATGTGTGTGGAGGGAGTGCAGCTTGTGGATCTATCTTGGTGACAAAGCTGCTCACCTAGTTCACAAACAGAGGACATATAAAGGACTTGAGAAATCTTTCTGTCTCATACTGCAGGCACTACACATGGTAGCAGTACTGAGAACTGAGGAACCCTAAGACTTCAGTAACTTCCATCATAAAATTTTGTTGATTTTAGAACAACCATGATGGTTTTAGGGAAAAAATAATTGCCTGAGATGCCTTCTAGAGTATACATCTCCATCAAAATTGCAGTCTAAAAAAGCAGTCAGCCCTCTCCAAGAAAGAAACCAGCAGAAATTATTTTTTACAGTATTAAGCTACTACTAATACTCATTAGTACTAAAGAGGATGTCTGAATCAAGAAGCTCTAAAGACCTTCAAACTAATCAGAATGAGAGCTTTTGCACTTTCATTTTTGGGGGGGGTGCAAAGGGGAGAGGAAGAGAAATGCTGTGTTTAAGCATGTTCAAATGACTATATCGCCTTTCTCAGTTGCACCAGGGTGTTGCTCTGTACCTTTAGTCAGTGTTACTTTTGGATTTTTTTCACACAGGATTATGTGGGGCAGTGTGTAGACATGTTTGGAGATGTTGCTCATATTAGAGCTGCCACTTCTGCCTCTCCCTTACTGCATGCACTAACAAAGGAGTTTCAGAGGCAACACCTTGTTGCAGTTACTAAAAAGTTTACTGATGCATCACACCAGAAGCAATACTCTCATCTTGGACACACAGACCATGACAGCTAGTGAGAAATCTCAAGGCAATACTAAAAGGACACTTCTGAACAACATGAGTGCTCTTTCTGCCAGAGGCATTATTTTTATGAATCCAAAGCCAGACTACTTGGATTTACTCTGCTTCCAAATTTGGCTCACCCAGACAGCTGTGGAATGCTGATGTTGCCTACTAGCTCTGGAAGCAATACAGAGAGAGACACATGCACTTCAGTTTTTTAAAAAGTCATATTGTATGATTAAGAGAAATATTTAGTCCACAGATGGAACATTGCAATCCAAACACACATGCTGGAGCTGGAGGGAGGCTGAGGAAGGAGAGAATGGACGATTATATGCAATATGGTCATTTCCGTAGCTGGATAGCTGCACACAGGCAGCAAGCAAGGGCTAACTAAATACCAGCTCAGCCAAACAATGGAAGGCTTTGAATCCACGAGTAGCACAACTGACGTAAATAATTTGGTTTCTACTGGCAGTTAAGTGGGGTAAGGGAAGGAGCAGTATCACTGCATTGCAGTATAGACACTGTCCTTGGGACTGGGTGGCATTTAAGAAAAGAAATTAATTAAGCAAGGGAAAAGTGTTGGTATCATAAACAGCAGTGAGCGAGACTAAGTTAATGAAAGAATGACCTTAAAAGGAAAGAATGAACTGAATGCTCGTAACTAATACACGCCGTTGCATACAACTGTGTTTGTCAGCAATTCTGTAACCACAAAATTGAGAAAGTTCTAACTGTGCAGAAAAATAACTGGAATGAAACTTGGCAAACAGAATTTTGGCCTGGAAAACTGCAGAAAAGTTTGGGGTTTATTTTCAAGAAAATTATTGTGTGTTTAAAAGGACACAAGTCATATATAGTCTGAAGCAAACACTTAGAGCCAAATTAGCAAACAACAGAAAAGTCAGCACAATATTGATAATCATTCAGACCTTTTTAAAGCACATTATGAGTCTCAGAAATCTCAAGATAGCTTCTTTGAAAAGCAGATAAATTGTGTCTAAGTGTATAGCATTTCACTGTAAGTAATGTAAGTGTTAATGAATGTGAAGGAAGTCCATCAGTGTTTGAAGATTAGATGGCATAGAAGCCATACTCAAGATTTTATTATTTTCCAGAAACAAGGTAATTTTTCTAAATTCTATCATCATTACTTCTG